ACTGAATATTTTTTCTCGAAAATGCGCAGGATTTCGGGGGTATGTCTATTCACCAAAAATTATTGTAATTGATCCCCGCAACCGAAAATAATTTTTCCAGAACGGTTTGAAATTTTTGAATTTAATTGTTAATAACTTTTTAACGAAGTCTCCACCAACAAATTGGTATTCTTGATTTTCGTCTTATTTTGGCTTCTAGAATCCCCCATTAAAATTTTTTCCAGGGGTGGCCGAATATAGTAATATCAACTTTAGCCATCATTTATACTGGTGAAGTTGTGTTCTTAATCATTCTGTTATGTTTTCGCAATGAAGTGTGCTGTACGTGAGCTAATAAAATTTTGATTTTTTGTATATTGGACTTTTGCCAAAACGTTCGAATAAATAGCAAAGAGTATGAAATAGAAGTTATTTTGAGTTGATAATAATACATTTATTAATACTTTTGATAAATACATTTTTGATAGTTATAAAAGAAATAAACGAGTAGTTTTTGACCCTGATTTTTTTGTTCTAATTCTTTGTTTCGTAAAACAAGAATTTTTAAAGAACTACCGCATCATACGGAGCGATACCTGTACATATATGAATTTCATAAAGCGTAATCGATGTAATTACTTTAAAAAAAATGACTAGAATTCGTTCAGAATTTAATGCGTCGTCGACGTCGACTCTTAGGTGTAATATAATTAATTAAAACGGTATCGTCGCCTCCAAGTATTGTTTTCCTCGATCACATGGTTGCGTTCGTGAATTTCTCGTTAGAAGAAGCTTTAGGAATGTTGTATAAAAATAATTGTTATTAGTTGGCAAAAGCATTCAGCGTGGTGTAATTACGTGATATAATGAGGATCGTTAGTTGCTTTAATCATCTAATTAATTCTGTTCGCATTACTATTTGCATTACGAAAGGCATGCGTCCACTTACTATAAAATATTGATAAATATCTTTTTAATTATTCTAATTAAGCTGATGAATTCGCGTTACGATCAATTCACATTCAACAATTCGCTGATGAAATTTTTATTCTTGAATTTTATTTATCGTAGCTAATTTTCGTTTATAGATAGAAAGTTTTAATTTCTACATTCACCATTTTGTTCTACGCGACTATACCGATGCTCGAAATATTTCAGTAGTTACAAATTCGATATTTTTGTGATAAATATTTTATTCCTATTGTTAGCTCTGTGCGTCTTATTATTTTGACCAGATTATAGCAATAATAGTACACTGATTTTCAAATGTTTCGTTTTCCGTACTTTTATATTTTCCATCTGTTGTATAGTACCTATTGTTTCCTCACAAATTACAAAGGTTCTGTTTCAGCCTTCTTCCATATACATATCAGTAATGTTTTCTTATAAACAATAAAAGCTATATAAAAAGAAAATAGAACAAAAATATTATTTCAATTTTCCTCGGATTATTTCCATCTTGTATATATTAACATATATTACTTAGAAATGTAAATCAACATAAAACATAAAAATTCCATTATTATTAATATTCAAATTAAAATTAACATTACCTAATACGAATTGAACTATACGACTCTCTTTTAACTACTTATACGGATAAAACTATGTATTAACCAAGCAGCTTATACTAGCATTAACAATTTAAATGGCTTATGGTTTTGCTCGTCGCTGTGAAGTTGATCTATAATGTATCTTCCGGTGTTCCCGAAGTATTAAAGATCCACGACGCACCAGGGTATATTATGAAAAATAGATTCTCATGCATAAAAGTTCGTTACATAATTAGAATGTTTTAATGAATTATTCAGGAGGTCCTGGCACGACGAGTAGGGATCATCCTGATCGCCGTGAGGATTCTTACGCGCAGCTTGGCCTCCGTTTATTCCTGATGACTAACTAATCTCGTTACTTTCGTCCATCGACACGGAAACATTTTTTCCGGTAAAGTAGGTTCTCTCGCGAGCCAACGTGGAAAAATATTGTTAATCAGCACGGAAAGGGTCCTCGCGCGTCGGACTTCCGGTTTTGTTACTGCTCTCGTTTATCAACAGGAACGTATCGCCGTAAATCATTCCCGATTGTCGTGGCGAAAATATGCTCTCGATCCGATTCAGTGTTTTCTATTACGTCGTCGCTAGCCGTTTCATTCGTTTGATTCGCGCCTTTATCCCGTACCGTGATCGATCATCGCGCGGAAACGATGAACTTGATGAAACGTTGAAGTGTGCATTGAAACGGGATTTCGCCCTTTATACACGGTGATATATTACGGAAAAGGATCGAAAAAAAATTTGAAGCGTGTAGAGTTCACCGAAATAGAGAGGAAAAAAAAACTGTTTAATTGACAAAGGCTCCGATTGGAACAACGTGAAAAAAAAAATGGGAAAATGTGGAATAAAATTTCTTGATTCGAGCCATTTTCGGTAGCTTAATATTGATAAATGCCATTCGAACGAAGAATCGACTTCTATTCCGTCTTGGGCTTATTATTAAAAACATTGTATAATTTTCAGTCCTCCTATACAAATTTCTACGTGGTATTACGAAGAGCCTTTCGCGTTCATGAACAGTTGAACACAGATGTTCGATCAAGTTTCGATTATACTTTTAATACGTTCGATCTCATAATTATTCGTCGCCGAATCGAGCGGAGAAAGAATTCTCCCGGTTGTAGTTGCGTTAAACCATTCTATTATCATCGAGAGTGTTATAAATAATCACCGATGACCTTTTACTTACGTGCAACAATTAACGCGTAAAGGGCAGTAAATCACTCGCGTAATTAAAATAGAAAATTGCAAAGCATTCTGCCACGGTTGATTTCCTATTTACGTAGGAAGAACATTTTAATTTTTTAATATTTGACATTTTAAATTCTTTGACATCTTATCTGGCATAGAAGATGCAAAAAACACAACAATTAAATTAATGGAAAGTCTTACTATTTCTCTTTTACTGTAGGAGTATCCCATCTTGAGTACTCTTCTAGTGTAAAATCAAATGAAATTTCTATCTACTGAAGAAACAAGGGTAGCTGGAATTACAACTATTTTTGAGAACTTAACACGGACAAATACTTTTTTCCAACCGTGATTTCGCATCGTTAATGTTACCTGGTCGAAACTAAAAAAAAGTAAAAATTGTTTTCCCTACATTTATTACATATTAAACAAATGTAATATTCCCATACGTTTGTATTTGTTCATATTTGAAAAGCTAGGATATTTCGAGGCAAAAAATCATAACTCCTGAACCGATTGGAGAATTTTAATGTTTCGAAATGTAAACAACGCGTCTTTTGGTGAAGAATATGTAGAAATTCCAAGAATTCTAGAAAAGTTGTTCCTTGACCTTGTAAAATGAGAAAAACCTCATAAAAATGGTCCAATTTTCGAACGACCTCAACACCTACAATAGTAAGTATATTTCATTGAAATTTAGTTTGGTAGTAGAGCTCATGGATAGCTATAAAAAAGTATTAGACAACTTTTCTATAGGGCGTCAAACAGAATTCCTAAAAATCAAAAATGAATTTTTAAGAAAGATCGACAGCGGATAGGTGCCTAAATTTTTCGGCGAAATTGAAAAGTTTCAAATCACTTTGAAAAAATTATTTTCGATTGCAGGGGTCGATTACAATAATTTTTGGTGAATAGACAAACCCTCGAAATCTTTACCGTTTTTGAAAAAAAAATTTCTTACCGAAAATATAATTTCAGACAAGAAATGTCACTCCAAAATTTTTGCGCATCTTTAAAACGTCATAACTTCTAAATGGATTGAAGGATTTTAATGTTTCAAACGACAAAGAACGCGTATTTTAGTGAAGAATATGTAGAAATTCTAACAATATTGAAAAAGTTATTCCTTGACCCTGTAAAGTGAGTAAAACCCCATGAAAATGGTCCAATTTTCATACCGCCATAACTCCTACAATAGTGAATATATTTTAATGAAACTTTTTTTCTGGAGCCGAGCGCATGGGTATCTACAAAAAAGTATTAAACAACTTTTCTATAGGGCGTCAAACAAAATTATGAAAAATCAAAAACAAATTTTTAAGAAAAACCGACAGGTAGCTGCTGAAATTTTTCAATAAAAAAAAAAATTTCAAATTGTTCTGAAAAAATTATTTTCGTTTGAAGGGGTCAGTTATAATCATTTTTGGTCAATACATATACCCCTGAAATTCTACGTACTTTCGAGAAAAAAATTCAGGAAGGTGGACAAATTTTTCGGCGAAATTGAAAAGTTTCAAATCATTCCGGAAAAATTATTTTCGATTGCAGGGGTCAATTACAATCATTTTTGGTGAATAGACACACCCTCGAAATTCTACGAAATTTCGAGAAAAAAAATTCACTAGGTGCAGAAATTTTTCAGCCAAAAAGAAATTTGATATCGTTCTGGAAAAATTATTTTCTGTTGCAGGGGTTAATTGCAATTAGTTTTGATTAATAAACATACCCCCGAAATCCTACGTACTTTCGAAAAAAAATTCTTTACCGTAAATATTTACAATGCGTAGCCAGAAATGTTTCATCGAAATGCGTATATATAAAAAATCATAACTCCTGATCGGTTTGTAGGATTGTAATATTACAAAATGTAAACAACGCGTATTTGGGTGAAGAATGTTTAGAAATTCTAAGAATGTTCGAAACGTTGTTCTTCAACCCTATAAAATGAGAAAAACGCCAAATACTTTTTTCTCAATCGTGATTTCGCTTGGTTAAAAGTTCCTGGTCGAAACTAAAGAATAGTATAAATTATTCTCCCTATATTTACCGCATATTAAACCCATTTAATATTCTCATACGTTCGCATTTATTCGCGTTTAAAACGGTAGAATATTTCGTGGCAAAGAAAGTGGTAACGAGCCTCGTGCTGGCACACGTGGCTTAACCCCGCCGTAGCGGGTGTATCTGGCTTGGTATCCATTTACAGGAAGCAGGCTATTTACCGTTTTTACTCGAGTGTCGTTTACAGCCGTCTGGTTTTCTCGTCACGTGTCACAGGGAAGCGGAAGAGCGCCGTGGAGCTGCTCCAGGAGACGAAGGCCTTCTACGTGAAGAGCGAGATCGTGCTGGACCGGAAGCAGGAGCTGAAGAACAGCGGACATCTTCAGGTGTCGCAGTTGACCGCGCCTGGTGCACCGCCCAGGTTGCTGAGAAAATGCGGCACCGCTTCGATGTGTTCCATGCAACTGACGTCCCCGTCGCAGATGCCACCTGCCACGCTGACGCCGCCCTGTTGCTGGGCGTCGTGCCACGAGCAGGACAGACGTAAGTCTCTCGAGAAAGTTCGGATACACCTTCGAAGCGCATAATCGATTTAACTCCGGGCATTTAAGAGTGGCCCGTGCCCGCTTTTCCGTTCCATTGCCACGGGCAACTTGCCATGAACAAGATAGCTGTAAGTGGCCATCTAAGTACTTTGGAAAGCTCCGTGGAGCCTTACTCCAAGATAGGTGTCCACGTAGCCGCTTCGAGTATCGTGTTTACGAAACGAACGTACGGGAGCGCTTCGATTTTCCTTGATAAACGGGAGGTCACGACCTGGTACAGCCCTTTTCCGATACACAACCATCGTTTGAGGGGTTAGACCACTGTAAAAAACCTTAAATAAAGCGTTTTTTTGCCGATTTTTTTTTGATCGATGGAAAAATAAGAGGATAATAATATTCAAGAATGTTATTAACCATGTCGTTAAGTGTTAGAAGAAAAATATTTATTCAAAAACAGTGCGAAATGACGACGTTGGAGGCATTCTTGCCAGGCGCGTTGAATTTCAGGCGCTCTGCGGCACGCAATGTAACTGACCCAAATTTGTATCTGGAAAAAAACAAAAAATTTTAATCTACATCAGTGTAGCTAGAGAAATACGTAGGGGATCTTCGATAAGTTAATTTTAAGATTATTTATTGACAAATGATTGCCCCATTTTTTTTACAAAATTGAACTATTTACTTTAAATGCTCGCCAATCACACAAAAATTAATATTTTAAAAAGTCTCCTACGTATTTTTCTAGCTATACTCATATAGATTAAGAAAAGTTTTTGTTTTTTTTCCAGAACAAATACAACAATTACTCTACAACTATTGGTACGTTGACTGCCACGTCAGTTTTCCATTTATAAAAATGTTTTTAATATTTATCAAAAATTGTTATGAAAAAAAACAGGAATATTTAATCATTGAATGACGTACTTATTCTTATATTGCATTTCTAATGGAAATAACATTGATTAAAAACGTACAAGTATTAGGGTTCATTCGTTGTAAATGCTTTAAAGAAACATTATACGGTCACCTGTGACCATCATGGCGGGTCAACGCGTTAATTACAATTTTTTCACTCAAAAAAAAATTGTGAACGTCACCGAATCACGTAGAAATAAAGATTCTATTTGAAAAGCGCTCGTCCAAGCCTGTGACCTTCCGAGTTGATAATGAAAAGAAATCGAACGGCTCGATTTCCGTCGATTTCAGGTTCTTGCGATACTAGTTGATTTTCTACGGATTAAATGATCATACGTTTTCACTTAAACCATTGCGGTCGACCGTCGTGGTAGTCTTAACGGCATAACTTTTGCCGTTTCAGTCGCGCGACAGGCAACGATCGGATCGTTTACCGTCGGCGGTTTTGTTCAGAACAGGTGTAGAATCAGTTGTAAGGAATCTGTGGGTTGGAAAGAGTTTCGTAGGTCAAGAGTTCAAAGCAGATGCACCGGGAAGATCCGAACAATACAGATTCGTGGAAAAAAGTGATTCTTTTGCGAGAGGAATCGATGAAAACTTTTTCTTTTACATCAATTGCCAGAAGAAATATTTGGAAACCGATTTCATAATTTTAACTAATGCGATACTCGATATCCTTGCGTCCACGCGCATTAGTTCCAAAAGATCGATTCAAGTATTTCGACACGACGATGCAGAATGAGGGTTGATTTGATCCTAATTAACATTTCCGCGGTCAACAACGTAGTTAATTTATTCAAAGTTGTTTGACTGTTGACGTAATACTACATTTTCCTGTAATACATAATCTTCGTATGCTATCGCAACCTAATCTCGGTAATGTTGGTTTCTCCGCCGCGTAAATCACGGTTGCGTAACCAGATATCCCCTTTTATACGTCGATCTTCTTCTCACCTGAACGAAATTTATAATAACCGACAATTCGCAGTGCATCGTTTCGAGTTGGAAATTTTATTCTTCGAAAAACTAATACATTTAAAAGATACTTGCCTCTGGACTGTTCGGAACGATTGAACGATCGTTTATAACGTTACCGATTCGCTGATGAGTAGTTTGGTAAGAGAAATGAAAGGAGGATGTTAAAAAAGTGCTAAATTTGTACCCCGCCAGGCACCTAAAATAATTATAAGGCATTATGCTACAGATTCTGCACTTCGAATTGTGCACAATTTTTTATAGCAAATATGATGGGAAAGTCGTGAAAAATGTGGTCGAAGTTGACGATGCTACGAAAGACAAATCATAACTTTCTGACTTCAAATAACTATAACTTCGATGTGAATACATGAAACGTAATAATTCCGATGCTATTTTGTAAAGAAAAGTCAATATTTATATAATATGCAAGGAAATGTTGCTCAAATTGTTAGTTAGTAATAATAAAACGCAACAGATTAAGATAATATATTAGGATGCAAATATTCCTCAAAATATGCTTAAGTGTATATTGGAACTCAGTTCTAAAACGGGATGGAATGCATTCAATATGAAGAACTATTTTATATTTCATCCTTTTCTTCAGATGATATTTCTTCGATTAAATATCTGTTGAGAAAGTAGGCAGATGAATGTGTGGATGTTTGATGTCGCGCAAGTCCGAAGTACCATAATACTGTTGCAATATGTGAACAACAACACCCTACTACACTTTGACCTATTTTACACTCACAAGTATGTCCAACAATTGCAGCAAGCCCAACCTTACTTTTAACGAACTCTGTAAACTGCAACCAAAGATGCCCCTTTTTCTTGACAAATGACTTGTGTCAATGTTCAGAAACACTTTTGAACTCTGGATACTGCTTCACAAAGCGAATCTACTTCTGAAAAAGTGCTGTCACCCGTGCTATTGACATTTCTGTTTTGATAGCATCCCGCACAATACCAATTGTCATTGCACTTCCGGTATTTGTTTCGAGCTAACTTTGCAAGTGACTTGCTACAAATAATACAGTTTACACTATAATGTGCGCTACAATACACTATAAGAATTACATTAGGCTACAAAGTACATTACACAAATCACACTAAACTACAAAGTACACTGCACAAGCACACTACAAAAATTGTAATACAAAATGTCTTCAGAATAAAATAAAATCTCAAATCTAAAAAATCTATTTCATAAGACTGTGGTCCAAATCCAGACAAAAGGAAAAGTGTTATCTTCTCCAGATAACACCTCTACAAGAATGTAACGAACTAGCAGAACCATCTGAAGGATAAACACTTCAGATTGCACGATAGCAACCATATCGTATACGTTGTGAATGTCATAGTTAATGTTAAATTCATTAAAAAATTATGATCCAAAGAAGAAGGGGATGAAATATAATAACAGTTTTTCATATTGAATGCATTTAATTCCATTTTAGGAAAGAGTTACAGTGTACCATTAAACATATTTTGAGGAATATTTGCATCCTAATACATCATCTTAATCTCTTGCGTTTTATTGTTACTAACCAATAATCTGGGCAATATTTCCTTGCATATTATATAAATATTGACTTTTCTTTACAAAATAGTATCGGAATTGTTGCGTTCTATGCATTCACTTCAAAGTTGTAGTCATTTGAAGTCAGAAAGTTATGATTTGTCTTTCGTAGCAACGTCAACTTCAACCACATTTCTCAGGACTTTTCTATCACATTTGCTATAAACAATTGTGCACAATTCGAAGTGCAGAATCTGTAGAATGTTGCCTTATAATTATTAATTTGGTACGGCACTTTTTTAACATTCTCCTTTGTTAGTAAAATATTCAAAGAGAATTAGGATGAATAATTTTATTTCGCTTATCAAGTTAGGGAAAGGCGTTAAGAACCTAGACACGTATTATGTACATATTTCCATTTGTTTGCCAGTCGAGTGACCGATAAAGACTGCACCGAATAACGAATCGAAGATGATAGGGGAAATTTCTAAAGCACACTCGGGTTTCGTTTAACAGCAGACGGTATTCTGAATCCTCAACAAACACTGCCACCCGCTTTGCCGCCGAAGAGTCCACGCCTGGTTCCCGTTCCGCAGCGACGCACGATTTCAGGGCCGCCAAGCAGCACCGGCGGAGATCAGCTGCAGACAAAATTACGTCGACTGCTTAATACCGATAGCAAAGAGAATGTCTTTTTTCCTGACAAACCGGCACAAGTGGTCATACAATCGAACGGCGTTCCTCAGGAGGAGAAATTCCGGTACTCGCCCGGAAGCTTGTCGCCCAATTTCCGCGACGAGGATCGTGGAAAGGTGAAATATCAATACAAATAATACAATTTTACTTTCCTCTATTCTCAACTTTTTTCTTTCCAATTAAACCTCGTCCTAGATTTGGTAGAACCTTTTTTATCTTAATGTTTGGATCATTTTCACTATACATACACAGCAGTGGGAATCAGGAAAATATAGTTTGTTCTATGTGAAAGGAAGAAATTGTAATAATACGAGTATGTTGAAAATCATGGAAAGATGGAATATCAATGTAAATAATACAATTTCACTTTCCTCTATTCTCAACTTTTTTCTTTCCAATTAAACCTCGTCGAAGATTTGATAAAACCTTTTTTATTTTAATGTTTGGATCACTTTCAAAATACATACATATACAGCAGCGAAAATCAGGGAAATATAGTTTGTTCTGTGTGAAAGGAAGAAATTGTAATAATAAGAGTATGTTGAAAATCGTGGAAAGATGGAATATCAATGTAAATAGTACAATTTCACTTTTTTCTATTCACAACTTTTTTCTTTCCAATTAAACCTCGTTGAAAAATTATTTTTGGTTGCACGGGTCAATTGCAATCATTTTTCGTGAATAAACATATCCCAGAAATCCTACGCACTTTCGAGAACAAAATTTAATATTGAAAATATAATGTGTGACCAGAAATGGGTCTCCGAAATTTCATTTGTATGTTTAAACCGCCATAACTTCCGAACGGATTGAAGAATTTTAATGTTTCAAAAGGCAAACAACGCGTATGTTGGTAAAGAATATGTGGAAATTTTGAGAAATTCCGGAAAATTGTTCCTTGACCCCGTAAAGTGACAAAACCCCCATAAAAATGGTTCATTTTTCAAACGGCCATAACTCCTACAATAGTGAATGGATTTGATTGGAATTTATTTCTGAAGTAGAGCTCATGGATATCTACCAAAAAGTATTAGACAGCATCTCTGTACAGCGTGAAACAAATGTATCAATAATCAAAAACGAATTTTTAAGAAAAAACGACAGGAAGTAGATTTTTCGGGGGAAAAAAAATTTCAAATCATTCTGGAAAAATTATTTTCGTTTGAAGGAGTCAGTTATAATCATTTTTGGTCAATACACATACAAATTTTTCGGCGAAATTGAAAAGTTTCAAATCATTCTGGAAAAATTATTTTTGGTTGCAGGGGCCAATTACAATCATTTTTGGTAAATAGATATACCCCCGAAATCCTACGCACTTTCGAGAAAAAAATTGGAATAGGTGCTGAAATTTTTCCACGAAAAAAAGCAAATTTCAAATCGTTCTAGAAAAATTATTTTCGGTTGCAAGAGTCAATTGCAATGATTTTTGGCGAGTACCCATACCTCAGAAATCCTACGCATTTTCAAGAAAAAAATTCCTTACCGAAAATATAATTTCAGACCAGAAATGTCACTCCAAAATTTCATGTGAATCTTTAAAATGACAGGATTTTAATGTTTAAAAATGCAAACAACGCGTATTTTGTTGAAGAATATTTAAAAAGTCTGAGAATGTTAGAAAAGTGGTTCCTTAACACCGTAAAGTGGAAAAAACCCTATAAAAGTGGTCCAATGTTCAAATGACCATAACTCCAACAATAGTGAGGTTGGTCCTACATTGGTCCTACCTCTTGGCATATAATGCGATACGCGAAAGACATAAACTAGGGATTACACTAAAAATTAATCTTAGTAATAACAAAATACAGGGCCTACTCAAATTCATGACGGAAACCAAAATTTTGTATCGATTAAACGTGACGATTACATCACTAGTAACATTTCTAGATTAAATAATGTGGCTAAATTTTAAGTTTCATTATTTGTAAAGTATTTTAATCAAGCTTACCAGTTAAAAAGAACGAGCATTGTTTCGCTCGTAACTTTGCTTGGATTATTGCTCTACTTTCCTTTGAAATATTTTCTCATAGTTAATTTTCTAGTGGTCCCCTCGTCGTTGCTAAAGTTTATTACGTTCTCAGGCAGATAGTGTTTGCATACACTGTTAGAAACAATTAAGGATTATTTAGTAAAATAATTTTGTGGCTAAATTTATTTAATACACGAACAGCATTCGGTGAAAATATTCATAATGCATAAAATATGCAACCCAATTTTAGGAACATTTAAGATTCAATTTATTAACTAATATTATACAAATTTTTTATTAAGTCTTCGTAATTTATACGACAATGCTATTTTTTCCGTTAATAATGGTAATTCCGTTCATAATGATTTTATTTTGAGTTTATGCTCTTAACGAAAGTTGCTCACGAAACAAATTGTTTGCGTTGATCTTCTATAATCCTAGTATCTACATTTTCAAATTCTGATTTAATCCTATTATTAATAATCAATTGTCGTTTAAAAGCAATAGCATAGCCAAAAAACAATTTCTCCGCAACTATTAAAGTGTTGACTATCACGTCAGTTGCCATGTCTATAAATATATCAATTATGCATAGGTTTTTCTACAGGAAAAGATTATGCAATTTGGTTTCACTCTTTTGTAATTTATTACTGTAGTGCTGTATTAAACACGTGTTACTTAGGCGTGTCGGTGAATGGGCGTGTAAATACTTGCTAATGGTGAATCGTAACTGTCACGATGCTATAGAGAGGAAACTGAGTTGGGAACCGGAAGTTGTACATACGCGTGTTTGCGAGTTTAACGCGGAAGACGCAACATATTCCACTGCTGTATGTAATACGTGCATAGTATAATCGATTGAATTGTCACGGAACTTGTAATGCTCGTAGCAACAAATTCCTTTTACAAACCTAAAATCACATAAACGACAATATTTTTCTATTTATTTTAATACCTTTCGAGATAACGTTTCGTGCATAAATTCACATACTATACAGGGTGTTCACCCCTGGGAAAAATTTTAATGGGAGATTCTAGAGGCCAAAATAAGACGAAAATCAAGAATATCAATTTCTTGTCTGAGGCTTCGTTAAAAGGTTATTAACAATTAAATTAACAAATTTCAAATCGTTTTGGAAGAATTATTTTCGGTTGCGGGGTTCACCTACAATCATTTTTGGTGAATAGACATACCCCCGAAATTCTACGCATTTTCGAGAAAAAAATTCAGTACGGGTGGAACTTTAAACGTTAATAAGTTTTTAACGAAGCCTCCATCAACAAATTGGTATTCTTGATTTTTGTCGTATTTTGGCCTCTAAAATACTCCATTAAAATTTTTCCCAGGGGTGGCCGAACACCCTATATACTGCTGAATAAAATTAGCATTACAAGAAAATAACGTATTTCTAAGATTTTCTAACCTCTTCCTTTCTAGTCTTTTCGAATAGTTTGTGGCGGACGGTTTACTAATTGATGGTACATGAACGTGTGAACATTCAATTTGTAATTCTAAATAGCTGTCTGTGCAATTTAGTATTCCATGTGCTTGAAACCAAATTCGCCGCAATTCGGAAGTGACGAACAACAGCCGCGTATAGTTATCATATGAGATATTTAATCAAATGGCCATTCGCGCTTCACGTGTGCCAAATAATCCGCCATGTTTTTTTTTTTGTTTTAAGAATATAATCCACGGTTTTACATTTCATTTTTCAGTTTTATTTCATAGATCAAACATTTTATTCTGACTTTATGCTCTTAATGAAAGTGACTTACAAAACAAATTATTTGTGTTAATCTTCCATAATCCTGTACATTTTCAAATTCTGATTTAATCCTATTATTAATAATCTGATTTAATCCTAATAATCAATTGTCATATAAAAACAACCGTATAGCCAACTAACAATTTCTCTGTAACTATTAACACGTTGATTGCCAAAATGTTTCTAATATTTATCAAAATTCTTGTGAGAAAAACAAGAATATTTAATCATTGAACGACGTAGTTATTCTTTTATAGCATTTCTAATGAAAATAACATTGATCAAAAACGTGCAAGTATTAGGGTTCAGTTGTTGCAAATGTTTTAAAGAAACATTATACATACATTCAAAACGTCGGTCACCGGTGACCACCATGGCGGGTCAACGTGTTGATTACAATTTCTAGCACCAGGATGGATACAGTTGAGAAGTTTGTTCATTGAAATTTATGTTTATCGTTTGTGATATCGCGTAATTTTCCAAGGATCGATACCACGAGCAAAAAAATTGACAAAAATTAAAAGTAACGAAACTCCTTTCAAGGCGGTACAATTCTTGAACTATTGGGTTTAGTGTACAAACACCTTAATATTTTTCTATGCTTTAACTATTCTTTACTAGAATAGTAAATATTAATTGATTCCTGGTAATTTATTTTCGCAGCGCTGTTTGCAACAAGATGCTCGCTTCAAATTCGGCCGCAGCAATTCGCACTCCCACACGTCCGGAAGGGCGACGAGAAAATCGACCAGCTCCCAGTCGGTGGAAAACACGGTCTGCCACAAATCTTTGCCCGACCTTCATACGAGCACACGACGACGAGCATCGCTGTCGCCCCGCGCGTCGACGAAGTCGTCCAAACCGTCGGCGCACCATCAATCCTCGAACAATTGCCCGGATTGTGAAACTAGTTCAGACTATTCGGAGCACAGTTTCAAGCGAGACTCTGTCTGTTACCGCAGGTATTCGGAACGTTTTCACGCATCTCAGAAATTATAATCGCGTAATGTTCGAAATATTTCAACATTCTCGATGCTTTTATGGTCTAGAATTTTACAGTTAACATTGTTCCAGACTAACAAATGCTACACACTGTTAGGAATAGACTATACAGTCTATAATAGAGTCATCTGAGGTTCGAAGACGCATACCAAAATATTATTTAAAAGGATATGGTTTAACTGCAATGTTAATTTTATGTATACAGATTCTAGAGGACAAAATAAGACGAAAATCAAGAATACAAATTTGTTGATCGAGGCTTCGTTACAAAGTTATTAACGTTTAAAGTTCCGCCTGTAGAACGGCAATTTGCGTGCATGCGATAGTGGTTCTCACTCAGCATGAGAAACACTAATTACTGACGTATCGACAGCCTTACAGTTTTCTGAGTGAGAACCACTATTGTGCGCACGCAGCTGTACGCAGATTGCCTATCTACAGGCGAAACTTTAAACGTTAATAACTTTTTAACGAAGCCTCAATCAACAAATTGCTATTCTTGATTTTCGTCTTATTTTGGTGCTTAGAACCTCCCATTAAAATTTTTCCCCGAACACCCTGTATAGTTTTTATTATCTCTTATCTGTATATGGTGGCAAACTTCGTAATGCCATAAAAGCACTCCCGTTTCAATTGTACCACTCAATACGGAGCATCGTGTATATGAGTTTTGATTATTTCAGTTCCAGGCATATTAGACGCTCCTTAGGATCTGGCGGCGGCGACGCCAGCAGCGTATTGTCATCCGGTGGTCGAACGTACAAGTCCTCAGGCTCTAGTAAACTGAGCCACGGAGCAACTGCAAGGGATTCTGGTGGCTCGTCCGGACACTGTACACACCGTAGCGAACCACCACCAATAATACAAGTACGAGTTACACATAAATCTATCGCATAACATACAGGGTGTTCGGCCACCCCTGGGAAAAATTTTAATGGGCGATTCTAGAGGGCAAAATAAGACGAAAATCAAGAATACCAATTTGTTGATGGAGGCTTCGTTAAAAAGTTATTAACAATTAAATTCAAAAATTTCAAATCGTTCTGGAAAAATTATTTTCGGTTGCTGATTTACAATTACAATCATTTTTGGTCATGACACATACCCTCGAAATCCTACGCACTTTCGTGAAAAAAATTCCTTACCGAAAATCTAATTATGTAGCTGCTTAAATTATTCGACAAGAAATAAAAATTTCAAATCGTTCTGGAAAAATTATTTTCGGTTGCGGGGGTCAATTACAATCATTTTCGGTGAATAGACATCACCCCGAAATCCTGCGCATTTTCGAGAAAAAAATTCAATACGGGTGGAACTTTAAACATTAATAACTTTTTAACGAAGCCTCCATCAACAAATTGGTATTCTTGATTTTCGTCTTATTTTGGCCTCTAGAATGCCCCATTAAAATTTGTCCCAAGGGTGGCTGAACACCCTGTATAATTGCAGGGATGGCGAACCTATAATCTATCCTAATAATTGTGTTGGATCAGTCTGTTGTAGTCGGTTGTCTTGATGTATAGCCTGTCACACAAGGACCTATCGATATCTCCATAACTGTGAAAATATTTGTAAAAAACTTTATGTACATCTAAAATACCGATACGCTCTTACTTTAACGTAATGCCCAAGCGTAAAATGAGTTTTCTTATATTTTGGGAGCTTTTTACAAAGAAACTGTACCATCTTTTGCAGCCAAATTTACAAGGTTTATTTGTACGCGTTTAGATTGCATTAAACAATTTTTTAAAAGATAAACATAGTCACAGTCACATCTTTATGTTGAAAAAAAATAAGAGTGAATAACTCTACCGACCAAAAATCTACACCACACGGTAACTTCTGAGTGCAAGACTGAGAATTAATATCTCCCCAAGTTCGGCAATTTGCTTATGGTCAATTTTGGTTCATTATTTTGGCAAGAACCCAATCAGCAAACTCTGTCAGCTCTCTGATAATTTATAAAGCATGGCTGAATACAAATATGGCGGCTATAATAACTGTTCTATCGCTGTTATTGGAAAGCTCTGTACTTTTTAATAAATTTTCGTGTTACTCGCATGAAATGGTTTGCCACCGTTCCTTTGACGGAGACCGCAGTATTTATTTACTGTAACGTTCTCTTTAGGATTGTTGGAGTCATATACGGCGTGACAGTGGTGCATCTACTCAACACTCGACGGAGAAAGAACGTTCGAAAGGCGGTAGTTACGTTAACGGTACCCCACCTTCCGTTGCAAGACATTACAGTCCCGATTCCGAAAGTAGCAACAGTCAAACAGATTATAGTCCGACATGCAATTCAAGGTACGTATATGTATAGAGCGTTAGTGCAACCGAAGAAGCTGTGGCGATGATTCCTTATTAAAAAATTAGTTGAAAATGTTGAACAATAAACTTGTAACACAAACTTGTAAACAGTAAGCTTGTTCGCGATAATTTAAATATTTCTATGCAATAAAACTCGTCGTTGTATTTTTTAAAATACCCGGATACGTGTATATTTGTTACTTACTCAACGACTTTCCATCGAGTGAATTTTTTCTATGTACGAGAAACAATGGGATATAAGCGTCTTGAGTAGTCAGTTGATATTGTTTTGAAAGAAATTAAACAATAATTTGAATTGTTCTATTAGGTTTTCCGAAGGCTGGAAAGAAGGCCGCGGTCGACCAATTTTGAGATCAAAGTCAGATATCAGTGATCGTTACTGGCGTCAAGACAATGGTCGATCCAACAAAGTGCCTGCTCGACCTCCTCGGTCAATAACTCAACTGGAGAACTTCTTCGATCGCTTAGGTCTCGATACAGATAATTATCAGTGTATCGCGGAACCAGATTCAAAGACGTCGTCTCCTGTATTTTTTGATAGCGTTAGCTCCGTCGATTCGGCGTTAGGTCTTTATTCTTGGGTTGGAAACAACCAAACGAGCCAGAGCAGCCAATGGCAGAACAATAATTGCAGCGTTGGCATGAGCAACGAAGATTGTAACGAGAAGGTCAGTGATCCGCCGAGTATCGTTGAGCGGAACGCTCGTATCATAAAATGGCTCTGTCAGTGTAGAAAAGTGCAGTTTGGATATAGTTAAACAACGAGGTTGCGAAGAGGACAATCGATGTTTCAATTTCACTAACACGCATTCAAGTCAACGAATGTAGTTTCTCATCTTGTTAACGATATTTTTTATGCATTTCAGAAACCTATGACCCGTAAGTTTTAAGTTTAGTTAATTATCTTTTTCCTGCTTTCTTGAGTTACTAATGCTACGACGAGTAGCATCTTAATTTATGATTTTTTTTTAACTTCAAAAGACCATGTGCCATCTACTTTTATACCTTTCTATACATTTCTTTCTATACACTTTAGTATTAAATTGTTACTGAAAAAGTTCGATGTCAAATTCATTACTTCTGTGAATACGTTTATGTCAAAATTTGTACATACAATCAGTAGACAGAAATATTGTCTAATATTCTCATATATACAGTCGTGTGACGTTTTGTCTGTTTAAAAATGTTGTTTTTTTTTTAATGAAAAATTTGACTATTAGTAATTTTATTAAATTTACAATGAGTTTATAATACACAGATCAATTATTACTTGCGTTCGTGGTTTATTCATCATTAAAAAGGTTACGTATACAAAATTCGAGGTTTATTACGATGTTTTGCTTAAATTGTAAATTAAGTCGTACATTAGTTGTTGCCAAATTTTATCGTTGTAGCCTACTTCGCGAAGATGTCCACAAACACGTAACATTTGTATGTTTTTTGCATCGAGGCAGAGATATTTATTTTACTTATCCGTTTTTCAAATATGCATTTCAAACTTTAAGCAATATTGTCTTTAATTGAGTGATTTAATGTTGTTGAATGCTAACTGAAGATCGTTTCAATTGATACGATAGTGTTACAGTTATATCAAAAGTTGGAGTTTCGTCTAACAGTACAGAATAACTTGCTGTGTTTTCAATAAAGTTCTTACCACAATAGTGTTAGTACAATTTCAGTAATGTTTTTCCTGATTCTAGATAATTGTATTAATGCGTATTGAGATGTATTTTAGAAATACAAACATTACTGGTACAAAGGAGAACAGATGTGATTTACTGAATTTTAAGAATTTTTCTCTGTAAAAATGTTCGCTAATGGAATTTCTATAAGGAATTTAAAAAAATTTTCACGTTAATATTTTCACGTTTTATAAATCTTGTTAAGTCAAATTGCGTTCAATTGTTGCGAAATGATTTTTAAATATAATGTACCTAAAATTCTTCGTAATTTTGAAAATTATCGTATGAATTAAACAATTTTACTTACTGCCTTTATTAACATTTAAGAGTAATTTTACGAATTTGATGAACAAATTTAATTGAATATTAAATATCGAATGAATATTTGTGTATACTCTACGTTATTCGTTTTAAGTATCTACTTTGCCTCGAAAATGCGAAAATATTATTTTCGTAATAAATTTATTCCGATTGTTTTATACATAAATTTTTACATATGTTCAATAGTTTATTAACAAGTTTAATTAAAATCCTGTGTATTTTATAAAATTTAATATTATTATTTAAGTATTAAGAGGATACTTAAATTTGTATCGTATATTTTAGAACATTTAAATTGAATACAATCGCTGAAACAATACGTCGTAGATATGAAAGCTTATAATTTTTAAGAAAACGTATTATTCATTTACTGCTTAAAATGTTTCCTGACATACTTCACCGTGCAATAATACGGATAATTCACTTAAATGTTTCTTATTTTAGGTGATACTTTCTAGATCATACTACTTGAAATAATTTACCTACTGTGTGGCAATCTATTAAAGGTATATTATGACTTTGAATGTTTGTAATGGACAAATTGTTACTTATGTGATTCAAGTATTTTAACGAAACGGAAAAAAAAGAAGAAGTTACTCAACTACTCTCATTTCAAGTGATATAGATGTTTTAGATAAATAGTGAGTTCGCATAGATTGTACGTGAGACGTGGTAGTGCATTACAATTAAAAGCAAAAGAGTTGAAATTACTACTTATACATATAGTATAGCTCGACAATTTAGACAAGATCCTTGTGAAAGTTGTCTTAGCATAATAGAGGTAGAGATAGGAATGAGACATAGAATTGCGTATCTATCAGGTGTCATCTGATACTAGCAAATAAGTAGAATAAGTGTTTTAGTGATCGTTGGTCATCCGACACTGTTTAAAAGAATTAAGACTTGAGAAGGGTGACAAGGACCGAACGTAGAGTTGCTAAGGAACATAGACTTTAAAATTTAATATCTGGATAATCGTTTGAACTGGAAGGCTGGTATTTTGCAGTGTTTAATTCTTTAACATCATCAACATATGACATAAATTTAGTATAAAAAAAAGACAAATCTCAGGTTGTGAAATTCAAACTGGAATAGTAATGCCACTGTCAAGGGACTAAAGGGTAAACTAAGTCAATGGGAACACCTGATTGGAGAAGAGACTGAATTCTCCCATTGCAGGGATCTTTTCTAAGTTGTCAAACTATAAAATCTTGCATTTTTCAAGCAAAGGTATAGTGATGCTTGTATCGAATATTAGATGTTTCTGTAGTTACATAACCAGTATTTATGGTAACACTTACAGTTTTTGAGAAAAATATACGAAGGGTGTAACCGAAATTATGAAGACTGCATTGGCAGCCAATCGTAAAGTGTTATTGCACAAAACTGAGTATAGGATACATACATTTACAAGAAGTATTTTGCTTATAACTTTTTGGGCCATGATGCCACTCAATATGTGTATATTTAATAATGTTCAATGGCATTTAGTTACATGAAAGTCTATTTCCAAAATTAAACTTTTTGTAACATAATAAAAAAATTCATGATATATTTTTACTAGTACTAGAACTTTATATTTTGGTTGATAATTTTATTATTAAATACTAAATTCTAAAATCTAGTTACAAGTTAGAAGCGTTGGAGGATTCGGGAAATAAGATATTGAATATTCTCAATATTATTTTCAAAAAGTTTTAAGCAAAGCAACTAAACTACAATTATACATTACTTCTTGAGAGCACAAGCACAAGGGGTGTTCTATTTCTACTCTATTAAGATTTAAGACCAATAAATTTGTTGGAAATAGCACTCGTTTCAATGTGTTTCAAATTAATCTGTATTTGAATCCTTCTGTAGATGTAAAAACTTATTGTTATTCATTATGGTAGAAATATACATTCCATTTCTTTAACGTGTGTGTAGATAAATCTCAAGAAGTAAAAGGGTAGCGTAAGTTTTCATAACAATTTTTGTTAATAGAATTATGTTTTGCATCAATGACACTTGTTAATTTAATTGAAGGAATTTGTATAACACGATGCTGCAGTTTGTTTTAAGTCATAGTTTATGTGATCGATGTTCTTGTATATTAGAATTCGTTGCGTTTATTATCTTATCGACTCGAGGCTTAGACAATTTTAATATTAAGTAGATTTGTTGGAATCTATTTTGTAATTTTAAATCCAAATGTATACTTAAAATATGGAACTTATGTATGTGCATAATTTGTGATCCATAATATTTAACATTGTTAAAGTCATACATTTTTAATTGCTTTTTTTATAATCTAGTCACGTAGATGAAAATATGTTAAATTTCGAGATAATATTATTAAATTCCTTCTGTGTATTATTGGTAATTTTATTTTTAACCCTATATTTATATGGTTCTTAATATTTACAGATAATGTAGATTTTCTTAGATATGAATCATTGAAATCGAGTTGTTCGAAATTTTATACAATTTTATTTTTCATTCAAGTTTTTAAAATATCTGTTGTTTTGAAATCTATCATTTTGAAATTTTGTTCTATTGCGAAATAGAATATTATTAGTAATACGAAAATCATATCAGGAAAATTGCCATTATTTTCTTCAAAATTTATGAAATATTACTGAAAAGTTTACATTTCTATGTGCTCCGTATCATCAGATATAAAAGTCTTATAAATGTTGTGATTGATTCGTACCGACAAATATTAAAATCCATACAAAGAATCTTTGCAATGAACGTGAAAATGTTAAATCAATGTTATGTAAAGTTCAATTAAAAATATAGAAATTATTTATATGACCGAGTTTAGAATATGGTAATTGCATACTATAATGACATATAATTAAAACAAAATCGTGTCTTTGTTATCTCAACTGAAGCAATTCCCACAATGACAATTCTGTTAATATTTTGTTCTCAAACCTTTGAAAATTACAGTTCCTATTTATTTCGTGCAGGAAAATTAAAACTCTATTTCTCTTGTACTCTCATGCAAAATATGTTAAGTTGATATTTGAAAGCGTTTAAAAGAGTCATACAACATTCATTGATCATTTACCATTATTGTTGATACCAAGAACGTCGAAGCAACTTGAATTTGAACGCGGTGCAGATGGCAGTGTTGTTCAACCTCTGTACGTCATGTCGACCATGATGCCGCGTGGACGCATGCGCAACACCGAGCTGCGCCTTTGCAATCTGGAATCGTCAGTCAGTCGTACGGACGCGCGATTCACGTTTCATGTTCAGTTTCGGATGCGTGGACCAAGCAAAATCGTCGATGATCGTACGTTTAACTGTGATACTACTTGACGAGAGAACTACGTTTCGTATGCGATCGACTAGTGGTGTCTCGTGGTGTGACGGTTTCTGCTAAGGTCGCAGTGGCACATTTCACTATGTCGCAAGTGCTCTGGCTGCAAAAGGCGCAGTGACGACTCGCCCGTGAGCCTGCCGACATCCTCGACGGCCCCGCGATGGAGTCTATCAGAAAATGGTTCTACAGACCTAAGGTGAGCACCGTACCGTTCTATCGTATTGCCGTCCCAATTTCTGTCTTTCTTTCCGCATCTGGTCTTTATCGCGCCTCTCCGTCTCTCTTTCACCGTCTCCGTGCGTTTCTCATCGTGTGGCTTAGCTGATCGAACGCGTGCGCTTGTTCTTTTTTCCTCGCCCCTCGGCCCGTCTCTTGGACCTGCGCGCTGTTGCCACCTGTTTCGTGAAAATTCGCACGATAGCCCCGAGGTGCTTCGGGCGACGTGTTACACCTGCGTGATATACGTACCCGTGCTTCATTGATACGTGCACGGCTGCATATCGTCCTTGTTTACGGTTTCACGTTTCCCTGCTTTTCACAATTTACAGCGATCGCCGCATACAAAGAAGTCTTTACCGATTGAAATTACAAGTAACGATCATGGTGTGTGTGCGCGACCTAATCAGCTGATATGCAATACGACCTGGTGGTTTTTAATCTCGCAACAGCACAGTGTAACAAAGACTATTCCGATTGGTTCTGATTCCGGATAAATTTTGTTTCTCCTATTATGAAGGCATTGCAGAGAAACATTGATAAACCGATTGTCTCGTTAGGTTGTCTTTACGTTAGAAAAATAAATATAACAATCTCCGTGTTTATTTTTTTTCGGAAATTTATTTAATCTATCAGGATCTCAAAGAAATAAAAACGTCTTTGTTCCGTAATCCTCAATTACAATATAATACATACTTTAAGAATATTTTTACTTCTACAGTATTCTCCCTTTCACGATTGAATAACAACAGTTTCTGAACTTGTTTTCTATTTGCTACGACACTTTCTCTTTCATTACTGATGACCTACATCTAATGTTACTTGATTCTGGAATCTGACACTTAACCTCAATGTCGAATAGTCAGGTTCCAAGAAATGATAAGTTTTAGAAAATCAAGATGGCACTCCTTTTTATGGAAGGTTCAACAACTATGTTTAGCAACACGTTTCGCTCGTTAATTCATGTATCGTGCGTTTCTATTGTGTAGAATATTCGTCGGTGTGTCGGATATTCTTAGCACGTATCAGGAAAAGATTTTTTGCCCCCCTTCTACGAACATTTTGTCATTGATGTTCGATGATACGTTGCAAGCGTGAAAACGCGAAAGCAAAATAGACATTCCGACTGTTTCGATGTTGCTTCCTCATAACTTCGACCACTGTCGCGTTTGCTTTATGAGTCGGGAAATGATGCAGCACGATGAAACGTGTCGCTCGTTCTTCCCACCGAACCGATTCCCAGCGATTAGTATCTAATGACACATTTTGTACGCGTACATAGTTCCTAGATCGTTCGGGCTGACATACGTATGTACATATATGGCGTCACATGACCATGTTGAAGGAGTTGTCATGAGGCGAGCAAAAATGTTTTTCCATTAATTTACCATTTCGGTTGCCTGGAAATCTGTCAATAAAAGAATATTAACACTAGATTTACGGAACCCGTCAATTTGACGGATGTCAGATTCCATATTTAAAATTGCAGAACGCGTAAATATTATTTTTTGACAACTTATGTTGAATTTGTTTGATGCAATGGCACGAATACATATTCTAATTAAAAGAAAAATTGTATTTTAAGGTAATCGTCAACATGAAAAGTATCAATAAATATACGTGCGATCAATGCCCGTAAATCTAGTGTTAAAATTCGTATGAAGTTAATTTCGAGATAATTTTAAATTCTATTTGGTTATGATTTGATGCAAGCAGTGTAATTGAAGATTATATTTTTATTTACGACAATTATTCTGAAAAATATTTATTCTTTTTGGCTTATTATTCTAAAAAATACTCATTCTATATGATCTTTTAAATGTCAAAAGAATTATTATTTATTTTTATTTTGAACAAACGATATCTAGTTTATTTCGAGAAACGTGCAGATAGAAAATATATTTCTAAATATAGAAACCGAGCTTGGTAGATCACTATAACACCGATATGTAAGTTATGTAGATTTGTTCCCGGATAGGGTTGTTTCATTTTAAACGCCAGCGTATATGTATACAAGAACTAACACTCTCGAATGACCAAATACTAAAGATGAGCAAAATTGTATTCGAATAATAGACAACCAATAAGGTCAACGTATAGCAATTGACTTGTAATGTTTAAGATAATATGCTTGACTTGACATCTTGAGATAGGTAGTAACCTTCTGTTTATTATACAATATTGTACAAGTAACAATTACGTTTTAACTGTTTATTCTAACATAACCTTAGTATGTGCTATTATATGCATTTTAAATTAGTAATACATCTCGAAAAGTAATTAGGACAAATAAATTAAATACTTTATAGACTATTACAAAACTTTTAGGACTTTCTAGCTTCGTTTAGAAGATAAAACATGCGTGAAACTTGCAGTACTTAAATTTATTTTGAAAAATCTGAGATAGGACATTGTAAATTAGTACGACGAAAATGTACTCGTATGTTTTTAGAGTATTTGAGTTGCAGTTTCATCGACTGAGGACGAAAGAGTACATAGCACACTTTTCAAGTTTACTGTGTCGAGAAAGTAAAGATTTCAGTTAGTTTACGGTGCCTTGACCATGGTTGGATCAGGTTCAACGTGTTCTCAAAACATCGGTAGACCGAGTGTTCGTACGACCGATCGCCAAACGTATTTCGTTCAAGTCCGTCGTACAATCACCGGTCGGCTTAAAATAAACATAAACACGGCTGGTTGGGCTTTTTATTTCTCTTCGTTGCGTGGAGGTAAACGTTTTCTCGATTGTCCGTCGTCGCCTGTAAAACTCGATTAACGCGTTAGAGGTCGTTAGTGTTTCATTAAAAAATCATTAAAAGTCTACGTGACTGAGCGAAATTTCGAACGACACGATAAAATTTTAAATTCATTTTTTCGCAAAATGTCAACTAAATAACCGTGTTTATTGTCAATAAAAGTATACGATAACCTAGGTAATAATTGTCAAAAGTTATTTTTTAAATTTAGTAATAATTCAAAATGTGTTATTCTTTTACATTAACTTCGATTCATAAAATATTGACGAGTAGGGATGTCTATATCCTACTGTTTTTTACTTGTAATGCAAACATTGCATTTTTGTAGCCTGTGTGCGATATGTATTATTATATTTGTACCAAAGTTTGAAACGGTTATGAAACTTTCTCAATCGGTTTCGTAGAAACAGTTGAAGCGGAACTTTTATGTTAAAACTTGCCACATTATGAGCTTCAATAAGACCAGATAAATAAAAGTTTTAGTTTGAATAAAGTTTGTAACAAATATTTACAAAATTTTTACAAATTTATTTTTTTTTATCGAAAATTATTTTTTCCATCGATAGGAAATAAATTCATTTTTACATCCATTTATTTTGAAAGTCTTATTTTCTTGATAATTATATTGCGTATAATATATTACATTCCCATTAAAACTATTATCTCTCATGTATAAATAAATCCATAAATGTACTATAAAATATTGTTTTAAAAGAAAAAGCATAACTTCATAGAGAATTAAAAAAAAAAAATAAAAGTTAATTCAATCGTATGTAATATTATTATACAGTAGACAAATAAACTTTTTTTTTAATTCTCTATGAAGTTACACTGTTTCTTTTAAAAGACAATTTATAAAAACAAATATAAATGAAAGAGTTTAATAGCATTTTTGACGTGACATTTGCAAAAGTATTTGTAAATATGTAATGAAATTTCACAACTTTGTCGCATACATTCTGACTTCCTTATTTTGTGGAAAGAAAACCTTTATTGTGTTCTTGTTACAGCTTTTTTTTAAGTGTGATGCATCGTATGTGCACACAGGTTTGAACGTGTGAGGTTTGCATAGTGCTCTCGAGTGAAAGAGAGCTCGTAGATCGATGCCGCTCACTCGAGAGTCGTAACTGTATCAGCCAGCCATAGTCTATAACTATACGTAAGCGTATATTAACTTTCTTTCGACTTTACTATCCAAAGTGACACGACGCGATGTTTTCATGGTCGTTTCGTCAAGAATAAAATATACGAGATCTTGTTTTAAAATCACAGTGATAAATAATATTCGTAGCACAACGATTATCCCTTCGTTATCGGTACTTTTCATGGATCGTTAGTAATAACATATTAGTAGTACGTCTAAGTACTTGATAATCTATTTAAATGCAAATCGCCTGTACGAAAACATCGAAATTATTGCGTAACGATAGAAAGAATACAGCATACATTTGTAACGATATTGATCTATCTGATAGTCAAGCTGATACAGTGATTCTCAAACTTGGATCCGTGTACTTCTGGATAAAATGCTTTGTGTAATATTTTATTCTTTTTCTCAAATATTATCGACGATAGCTTTTCACAATTTCCATCCTTATGGTGGGTTAGGTCAGGTTAGATTAGGTTAGTAGAATGATTAAAATTTATTTGTTACTAATAGTTTAAATATTGAACGATTAAGTATTTAAAATATAGTAAATTGAATGCCAGTAAACGTGTACCAAGTAGAATTTTGTTATCTAGGCGAAATACAGAATTTGTTTGATTACGACTGGTCAAGAATTAACACGTTCACTGCCAGATGAAAACTGCATAATACTCCGCAAAATTAAAATTTTGATTTTACACCATTGTAAGTTACATAACCTAACTTTTGTTTCAGCCACTACATAACATGAAATTTGTTTCAGTACTTATTTTCGTAACCTAGTTAAAATTCGCAAATTCTTTTCAAATTTATTTCTCTCAACGTCTTAACTTGAGAATTAATTTTTCTAGTATTATAATGGTAAATCCTGCCACTAAATAACCTAAAATTTGTTTCAGCACTTATTTTCGTAACCTTGTTAAAATTCGCAAATTCTTTTCAAATTTATTTCTCTCAACGTCTTAACTTGAGAATTAATTTTTCTAGTACCATAGTGGTAAATCCAGTCACGTACATACGAGTGACGAGGCAGTCAAAGTGTTAATACAAAGTGTACATACAGGGATCACAGTATGG